TATATATATATATATATATATATATATATATAGATATGATATAGTTTAGAGATATCAATATTGGACATGTTCAGGTCGTAAATTAAAACACGAAATATATGTATATGTGACATTGTCATCGTGCAGCTAGCACTGATGAAATTGTGCTACGCAATAGGAAAAAATCTCATTCCTTGCTAGCTATTCTATTTTTTTCCTATGATGGATATATATATTATCTCGACTGCTTTTGAAACCCTTGTAAAGTAAAAGAAATCAAGTATATAAATCGGTGATATTCTAGATAAATTCATTGACTCACGAGGAACGAAATTCTTAATTAATATATTTATCCCTAAAAAAACTATTCTTATCTGGCAGTACCTCCATTATGAATGCCGACTCGACAGTGAAAACGTTGTCTTATATCTATTGTATTATAAATAACGATGAAAATTAGGCAAACAGGTATATTTTTAATAAGTATACGCAATACTATAAAAAAAGAGATGTATTGGCTATGATAGGTAAGACTTCAGTTGGTTTAGCCTGGTTTAGGCTTCTAAAAACTCTTGTTAATGACCTCCATGACTTGAGCTGCAGCTCAGTATGGAAAAACTAGACTAAAACTCGATCATTTTTTGTATATATAACCCGCATATTTTAAAACTAGAACTAGCTAATATGATTTAATTATAAGCTGAAATTTGAGGACTTTTCAGTGCCTTTTTATTGCGGAGAAAATCATGATTTTCTCCTCTTCATAGAATTTAGCTATGCTGTGGTTCTTTTTCCATTTCACATTGTGGTAAAAACTTTCATAGACTGATTTAAAAGTTCTAAACTAAACTAAATAACTCACCGTGAATGTTCCTTTTCCATTTTCAACTTTTCCAATAATCACATCATAGCCTTGCATTTGAAAGATTTTTTTCGCGAATCCAAAACCAATCCAACCAGTCGCCTTGACCTCCAACGCCATCAACAAGACATCTTGGCTTGCTTCATACGTCCAAGAAAATTTGACTGCTGAGGTATTTGCCCGGTCGAGGAAAGTTGAATTGTCGTAAATTCTGGTTAGTTTTCCTAATGAAATTTGAAAAACTGTAACAAGAATGACAAGGCTTTTAACAAAAATCATGATCAATTTTTAACCCAATAGCAGTGTGTTTGCGAAAACCTTTATCCCGTCAGACTAACTTTAAGTTCGATTGATGATTAATGTTGCAATTAATTATAGAACAATAAAAAAATGCTATAAAATAGTATTGGACCTTGAAATATTGTATTAGATTATGAACCGATACTCATTAACTTTGAATAAATTCGTTGACAAGTCTTGATGTGGTGGGAAAGAAAGCTTGCAAAATAATGACGTGATAAAAAAATAATGACAATAATAATGAATAATAATAACAACAATAATAATAATAATGATAATAAT